CAAAGCAGCCACAGCAACCTCCCTTTGAAGGCAAGGTGTTTTGATGGCTTATGTGATAACACAACATAAAATGGTGCAAAGTTTGTTAAAATGAAAGAACATTTTTGATTATGAAAAACACCGGCTGTCTTGCAATACATAAGAACGCGAATACGGACTCGTGTTCTAGCCAGGCCTGTTCTGGAGAAGAACACAGGAAAGTGTGGACTCTGGGAGAACGGGAGCACGCAGCATAAATCTGGGTCAACTGGAACAGAAGCGTACTGATGACATCACCACAAGCTCAGCTCATCTGGAGCTGCATTTCACCTCCTGTTATTAATAGTCTCTAGATAATAATAAATTCTGACTTTTTTTTTTTCATTTAGTGGAGGAATAATAATGAACACAGTCAGATAAACACAAATCAAATCAACATTTTGCCAAATAAAACCCAAAACACCTCCATCATAGCCAACGGTGCTTCACACACAGCTATGCAGAGACAGGGCTAATGTTAGCCCTGGCTGTGGTTAGTCTCAAAGGTTATCTGGTTGCCGCCCTCCTCTCAACATCCGACCACTTTTTAATTAGGCACTAAATCAGTAAATGGGCCATATAGTGACGCTTAAAAGTATAATATTCTCACTTCAAATGATTTTAAAATGTACTTTTATTGAACAACAGCAACAGAAAAGAGAACTTTTAACTTAATACTCTGAGCTCTGTGAGCGCTAACCTGGAAGCTGCAGCTGCTGCAGTGCATGCTGGGACAGCTGTCAGTCTGGAGAATGGACAAGTCTGCTCTGATGCATGCTGGGTAAAGAGGGAGGGGCCAGAACAACATGCAGAGATTTTGTCCGTTCTCGGTGTTCTTGTGACTTGGAACAGAACTACGGCTGAAAACCTGATCTGTTTAGTCAGTTCATCCAGATTGCATCAGCAGTGCTGCGTCTGACTCCCTGCCACCTCCCAGATCAGCTTCTCTCATTGGTTGATGTGGAGCATCAAGCAGCTAAAGTTAATTTTTTCCAACTCCAGCAGCTGCTGCTTCTGAAGCGCCTCAGAAGCTCGTGACGCGCTGCTTCAGCTGCTCAAAACGCACTGCAGGACCTTTTGCTGCACCTTGATGCACATCAACCGTTGACTTTACCTGTAAACTAGCTGCTTCTGCTGCCTCTGCTACTTGCAGTCTGAATGTAGCATTAATCTTTTGATGCAGCTGCACTGTTAGGTTTATTACAATGTGAAAGTTTCAGAAGGTTTTCACGTTTAACAAAACTGTAAAATGGGGAAATCCAGCCACCTTTGTTCCTGCTGCATGTCTGTGTTGAGTAAAGCGTTGCTACCAGAGAACCAAAATAAGGAAGACTTCAGGGAAACCTCAGGTTCCTTCTGTCGTCTTGGTTTTTTCCCACATTTGTAGAACTTAAGCATTTTCATTATGACCAGATGGAGTCACATGAAGTGTGTATGTGTGTGTGTGTGTGTGTGTGTGTTGGGGGGGGGGGGGTCACTGTCACGCTGCAATCAGCTGCACTTTCATACAAGGGAATTTTGTAACTGCTCCCATTTACAGAAAAGTCCCTCATATTGCTCAGTCTGTATTTCTGTTTTCCTGTTTTTTTTAACGGATCATTAGAAAGTCTTTAGTTTTTTTTGTTTTTCTCTGAGTAACAAAGTTGTTTTTTTTCTCTAAGGTGCGTCCTTGGAAACACCACCATCCTGGCCGAGTTCGCCGGGGAGGAGGACATCAACCGCTTCTTTGCACAAGGCCAGTCACTGGGAGCCAACACCACCAGCTGGCACGCCAACCCGGGAAGCAATCAGAATCGGATGGGCGGGGCGGCCCAGTCCCACGCCATCGGCCAGTGGAGCAGCGGCGGCGGCGGAGGGAAGGCCAGCGGGAGCGATCTGCTGTGGGGGGGAGTGCCCCAATACTCCAGTCTGTGGGGGCCGCCCAACGGAGAGGACGCCCGCGTGATCGGGAGCCCCACCCCTATCAACACCCTGCTGCCTGGAGACCTGCTGAGCGGGGAGTCCATGTAGGAGGGGGGTGTGATGCCGTGCTCCCCCGCACCTCCACCTGCTGCCGGGGGATCGGAAGCAAAGGAAGAGTTGTAAACAGAAAAAAAAAAAAGGTTAAAAGGAGCAAGAGCAAAACCCAAGCGAATCATGTGGCGATAATCAGCGTTTAGAGAAACTGTTTCAAACTGTGAATCCTAAATCAGAAAGCTGAGGGTCCCTGGAAAAGATCAACACCAACCCTCGCTGCCTCCACTTCCTGTTTCTCTCATCTTTGTGTTTCTCCAGAAGTCAACTGGAGATCAGTTACAGCATCCTAAGAAAGAAAAATCTGAAATTAATCTCTAGCAAAGGGTGTTTTTTTTTTGTTTTTCCTCATTACCAAGTTTTTCCAGAAGTGTAAAAAACGACGGAGTATTAGGGCCGGGCTAGAGGTTTATTTTTTTATTATTAAAGTCATAATACTACGAGAATGAAGTCATCATACCGCAACCACTTTGACATCCTGCCCAGTTTGATGCTGCTGCTAAAAGATTTCCTGATTCGTCAAACCGATGCTAAAGTAGAACTTCACATGATGCTCCACATTCCTCATTTTAGGGAAGAAAGGGATTCTTCTTAGAGTTGTCATAAAATACAACTTTATTCTCGTAATTTTACGACTATTCTCGCTGCAACTTTATTCTCGTAATATTACAACTTTATTCTCGTAATGTTACGATTTTATTCTCGTAATGTTACGATTTTATTCTCGTAATGTTACGATTTTATTCTCGTAATGTTATGATTTTATTCTCGTAATGTTACGATTTTATTCTCGTAATGTTACGATTTTATTCTCGTAATGTTACGATTTTATTCTCGTAATGTTACGATTTTATTCTCGTAATGTTACGACTTTATTCTCGAAATAGAAAAAAAAACCTCAGCCTGGCCCTAATACTGTTGTTAGAAGAAGCAATCAAAGCTGCCATTTCAGACGCTTTTTTTTCCTTTTTTAATGAACAAATGGAAATCCTCCCAGGAGAACTCTGAAACCAACCATTCCCAGCGTATCCGAGGCCAATGACGACGTTCAAAGACCTTTTCTTCTTCTTTGCTTTGTTCCTCAGCACTAATATTAGCCTTAAGTGCTCTCTGGCCCAGGACTTTTCCAAGCCACCTGATTTAGTATTTCTTTCTTTTTTCTAAGTGAAGAATTCGCTGTAATCTTGCACAGTTCACCTCTGAGCCAACGAGTGTTCCCGGAGGCGGCGCAGAGCTCCGGACCGCCCGGCTGGCGCTACCAATCATCTGCTCAGACCCTTGAACTCGTCTCAAATGTTGGGTTTGCACAGCTGTAGACTTTGACGTGTAAAACCTTGCAATTATTGTCCTTTTTTTTTATTATGGTTGTCATATATCATGAGATATAAGCTGCGTGAAGATTAAAGACGCGCCCCTCGCCGCGCGCCAGATGTCCGCTCGGATCTAATCATCGCCTGAAGCCTGGACCCCAGTCGCTTACTGGTGCTTTCTGTCGAATCTTGCTCGCCGTTTGTTCGTCAATCCGCCGGCAAACGGCGAAAGAAACTCCTCAGTTTTTACTTTGATGGGACAGTTTTCATTGTGCAATATACACCATCGACCTTTCTTCCGTCCAAACTCCATCGGGAGCCGTTTTTATTTTATTTTTTTTTAAAGATTGTTGCTGTTTTCAGCGAAAGACTTTGGAACTTCAAAAAAAAAAAACCTCCCACCTCCTTTTTTCTTGAAAACAAGAAAAAAAAAAAACTGATTATTTTCCAGGCCTAAAATCTTTGCAAAGCTGTTTGGTGGTGGGGGGGGGAACAAACTCTAAAGCAAAGAGGAAGGCGGAGGAGCTGGTGGACGGGGGCATTGCTGCTGGTGGACGGGGCGTTGCTGCAAACCGCGCTGATAAAAAGTAACACTGGCAAGAACAATGCACGCTTCCTCTCTGCTGCCACGCCCCTCAGAGACTGAAGCCGCCGCAGCGGGATTTTAGCGCTTCTGGTTACTTTGGCACAATACCAAATTAGAGGGGGGGGGGGTTGCCCCTAATGCAGTAAACCTACGAGTGTTCCTTGCATTTGGTACAAACAGAAGAGACTTCTATAAACTGGTTTGAGCATAGCACTTATAAAGAGCAAATCGATTCAATCCAATAAAAGCGAGCAGAGACTCGTCCTGCTCCTCTACGTACTGTATCTCCATGGAAACGCTCCTTCCTCCTGGAGCAGGACCAGGGCAGAGATTCTACAAAAAAAAAAAAAAAAAAAAACTGCTTCTTTGAACTGTTTTAAAGCGAAGATCACTGTTACTCTGAAATCATTAAGCCTTGTTATGGTGGAGAGGCAAGAGAAGAAGAAGAGGAGTGGATCTGGGGGGGTTGGGGGGGGACATGCGTCCACTGAGTGCCTCTTCGCTGTGCAGAACCTCCTTCTCTGGCTTCTTAACGACCAGCCAATCACGGCTCTCCCTGCCACACATCTCCGAGCGAGGAGGAGGAAGGGCGCCTCCTCCTCCGTCTCTCAGTCCTTTACACAAAGATCACTTTAGCTGGAAGATGTAAGAGTCATATTTCTGGAATTTCTGCCAGTGTACTTTGTATTTGAAGTTTTTTTTTAATGTGTGTGTTTCTGATTGGTCTACATGCAGTTGGTCCAGGAGCTAACTGGCTGCGGATCTACAGCCCTTCACTGTTCATATGCAGAAACACTTTGGTCAGAGGTGCCTCTGTATGTTCATCCTGTGTATTGAATTGCAAACCGAGGATCAATACTACAGACCGTTAATGATTGTGTTCGAACTGCTCGTGCTTTTTTCTGACAGTATTCGTTAGTACGTCCAGGTGTGTGTGGGGGGGGGAGGTTAAAGTCGTTTTGGGCGCGCCGCTCCGAGCTGCTCCTGCAGGCGTCACCCTCTGCCTGGCTGCTACCCTGTAACCTCCTCCTCAACCAGACCCAGTAGCCCCCTGAATGGACACCCACCCACCCTCCCGTACATTTCTATGCAAGAAAAAAGAGGCAGAGAGGAGGGGTGGGCTCCTCACAGCACGTCAAACCCGACTTTACCCGCCTAACGGGCCGCCGCCTCCACTGATCAAAGGTCGGCCGTTTCTCTCCACGCTGAAGACGTCCGTCCAGCTAAATCTCAGGGTAGGGAGTTGATGTTTTGCTAGCATGAGTCGCTGCTCTCCTTATGGGTCCTCTCTGCTGCCAGAGTAAAACTTCAAAAAGCTGCAGCTTCGCTTCATTAGCGCACATTAAAGTTGCCAATGTGTCGTGCCAACGTGAATTAGCCGTGTCATACTTTACCTGTATTGGAGGGGCTCTGATGACCTTTGCAGAGGGTGCAGAAGGCGGGGGCAACAACGGAGCGGCCGCGTTCCCTTTCCTTTCATCCACTGAGGCTTTTTCTTTATCTGATTTATCGTTTATTTGTCGGGGAAGGCCCCACGCTAAGGAGAAAGATCTCCACTCAGTTTGGGGGTTCCAGTTTGCTACAGTGCACAGTCGATGATGGGTAATCCCGGGTACATATTTTTTTAAAAACCAAAAATAGAAAAAAAAATCACATTTTAACGTCATTTTTAAGAAGTTTGACATAAAAATCTTAAAAAATGCTTAAAAATCTAAAAAGAACTATGAAATGTTAAAGCTCTGCACTTCTAGCTGAAACGTGTTCCGGGGTCGCCAGCCTCCACCGCCGCCATCCTGAAGGGGTGGACGCGGCAGCCTAGGCTCCGTTTTGTGGATGCTGTATTTATCTATTTTATTTTATTTTTTTTTTGTGCGTCTCGTGTTCTGCTCAAAGCAGGGCCCCGCTAAAACTGTACATTTCCACACACCCTGACGGCTTTAAGGCCCTCTGCCTCGTTCTCTCTTCCTCTGCAGCTACAAGGAAGAGGGAGGCACATTTCAAGAGGTACAGACTTAAAAAAAAAAAAAAAGAAAAAGAACTAAAAAATATATTTAAAAAAAGTCTGAAATGATGGTTTTAAAAAAAAAAAAAAGGAAATGGAAAAGGCTACCTTTCAGGACTTGGAGTCCTGCAGCACACAAGCAAAAATCACTATTGCCTGTTTCTGTAACTGCCTTGATCCAAGCTCAGACCGACCCAACAGCCCAGGACCTCCCAGCATTCGGTTCTGTCAGTCGAACCCTGACAGCGAAGGGTTTCCCATGCTGCACCAGCATCCAGAGGCTCCACAGCTCCAGATACCAAGCAGAATCTGTTCAAATCATTCACACAGTGGCGGTTTTTGAGTGGAACGATTCGCCCGACGACCGGATCAAATAGGAATTCATCGTTACGGCTGGAAAATGTTTCCTATTCTTTGACGCCTGTGTCGTTAAGCGATAGATGGCACCCCCGTTGTGTTGAATGGGCGCTCCCTGCCTGTATGCACTGTATTTTCTTTCTGGCCCCAAAAGCTTATATCATTTCCTGCACTCTTATTTGGGGGGGCGGGGCTTGCCCAGGATGGGATCTGACATGCAAAAACCGCCACTGTGTTCATATATATACTGTGAGTACCACTTATGGTATCACTTGAACCGTAACCTCCGAGGCTTTTTCTTGTCCCCCCCGAAAGGTCCTGTTTTCTCAAAGCCGATAAAGAGCAATATGTATTTTTCCCTGCAAATAAGCGACGGAAAGGAAAGGATCTGGGGTTTAGGTGGAAACTGATACTTGATTGACTGAAACGGAGTTAGATTATGCACGTTCTGTTTTTTTTTTTTAAAGGCGTACCGTAGTACGGTGTTTATGCGTGTTTGTTTGTGCTTTTATTTTTTCGTTCTTTAAAAACGGCCCAAACTGAAGCACCTGCTAAGTTGCGTAATTTACCCTGTTGTTAAATCGCAGACATATCAGAACGACAAAAAAAAAGGTTCTCTAACAAAATACTTGAATCATGAAGCGCCAATATCTTAATGTGAAGTCGGTAAATTGTTTGTTTTTTCTGTCCATCTGACAGGTACATATATGGGCTTTTATTTTGTAGAGATTATCAGACATGTATGGCATTAGGTTACAGATTTGGAAAAAGAAAAAAAAAATCATCTCAGATGTTTTGTATGAATGTTCGTTTTTTTTAAAAACTATGTTCTCGGCACATGACCTGCTGTTATGTTCCAACTCTGTGTTTTGTGTTTTATTTTAAATGTCTGATTCGTTATTATCTCCTAATGTTGCACTGAGTGTCTTCTACCGCTTGCTCAGCTCATCGTAGGTAAACGCGAAGTTCAGAGGGACGACGGTGTTTAACTCCCCCGCCCACCGTCTGTAAAAATGATCTACCTTATAGTGGCTTTTATTGTGGGATAATCCAGTATGAGGATTATCGTGGAGAATTGCACCATTTTGTTTAAGTTACGTAAACATGTAGCAGAAAACATAAAAAAAAGTCCAAAAAAATGTTTAAAAACTTTAAAAATTCTACAAAAAAAAAAGAAACAAGCTAACTGTGGCCATAGATAGCTGTAGGAGGACTAGTAATCCAGGAGTGAAAGTGTCGGAAATGTAAAGGG